CACCATCAAACTGAGAAATTATTAAGAATCACTTTAGCCAAATTGTTTTTTTTGTGTGTGTATTTTAAAAGCTCTACTTCTTCTGCTCCTCTTTAAATAAGCATAGTCAAATAAGCTTGTTAAAAGAAGGGACGACTTGAGCTTTTAGTGCCGGCAAAAATGCAATGTGAATGCTTATTTCTGAAGAACTTGCTGAAAAACAGCTGAAATTAGCTACAAAACATTCTGAAGTGTAGCTGAAAAGGAAGAACAAGCCTAATTTAGCAGAAGAAAGCAGAAAGAGGATTGAAAGAACAAATATTTGCTGAATTAGGCTTAAATGACCAGAGATGAGCACAAATATTTGGAAATTAGCAAAAAAAAAAAAAAAAACTGAAATGAGTTTTAAAAAAAATAGCTGAAATGGCAGAAATAAGCTTAAAATACCAAAAGGAAATAGCTGAAATTAGCTAAAAAATGTGGAATCACCTGAAAATTATAAAAACAGCATCATAATAGTAGCCGAAAGAGCAGAAAAAGCTGAAACTAGTATTAAAAAAAAAAAGCTGAAATGAACATAAAGAAGTTAATTAGGCTGAAAGAAGCAGAAATTACCACAAAATAGTGGAAATGACCTGAAAACAGCTGAAAAGTAGCTAAAAAGGCAGAAAGCAGCTTAACCCAAAAGGAAGTGGAGAGAGCACATTTTTGCTGAATTAGGCTGAAAAAAGTTGAAACGAGTGCAAAAAGTGTAGAATTAACAGAAAAAGCTGAAATTAGACTAAAAACAACTAAATAGTAGCTGAAATAGCAGAAAAAGCTGAAACTTGCGGAAATAAACTAAAAGGAGCATAACAAGCTGAAATTAGCAGAAAGAATCTGAAAGGAGCACAAAACGGCTGAAATCAGCTCAAAAGTAGCTGAGAAAAAGTTTAAATTCGCACAAAGAAGCTGAAAGAAGCTGAACAGGAACAAAATGCAAAAGGAGCGGTAAAATGCTGTGAACACATCTCAAGATTTGAAGGATGTAAAATGACCTCAATTCATTTTCTACGAGAAAAAATGTGCCAGAAAAGGCTAAATATTTCAAAAAGCTAAAGTTGCACCAATACTAAAAGTCATAGAAGGACTGTCCTGAACGAGCTGAACGTTTTGAAATGGCACAAAAACTGTGGAACGAGAAAGATGTTGAAAAACGTACACGGAAGAAAAACGGATCACAATAGTGTGAGTGCTTCATAAACGTTCACACAATAAACTTGAAATGAGTTCATGTGTGTCCGTGTGGAAGAGGGCAACGTATTTCACAACAGCAGCGTCGGCCTGTGGGTGCTGCCTTCAGCTCCTATAAGCAGCTCCGACAGCGAGAGGAAGAGAGAAACTTCTAATAAAACAGAAAGAAGCACGAGGTGCCAGACAGCTCGCACACTCCGAGGTGGAGAGAGCAGCAGCAGCAGCGCTCATGGAACGTTTGAACATTTTCCCTCTCGCTGATGTCACTTTAACTGGACTAAACTCTCAAATATCGTCGGAGGAATCCATCTTTAAAAACGTAAATAAATAACATAAGCTGTGATCCACGTGTGCGAGGTGTCTCGGAGTTCAGCGTCTGAGGCCCCGATGGGAACACAGGCGGAGGGATGGAGAGCGCTGCAGAGCGAGCGAGAGGTGGAGGAGGAAGAGGCAGCGGGGGTGGGGGGTGTCTATAACAAGTTGTTGAATGAGTGGTGGAAAGGTGACAGCAGAGTTACAGGAAGAGTTTGTAAGAAAAGATCAGTTCAAGAGCGCAGAACTGAAAGGAAGAGGTGTTGAAACAAACCGTAGACACGCGAGCGCTGCGTGGAAATAAATAAATAAATAAATAAATAAATAAAAAGATGCTGGAGGTGACCTGCTGACCTCGAACACCTGACGCCCAAAACTCCTCATACTTTCACAATATTCCCTCTGGAGCCTCCATCCCTGCTGCCTTCACCTGAACAACACCTCACGTTCAACGGTTTCAGACGGAGTACAAGTACAAGTTTGGGTACTTGCAGGTACGGGGGACACATAACGAGTTAGTACTTAAACTTTGCACGATGACTTTAGCAACACATTACTTTAATACAGTCTGCTGTCAACATCACCGGTGTTTAAATATAATGTATAATCTTCAAATATCTTCAAACTACAGAGTTTATTTGTTGACAAGTGGAAGAGGAAAGGTCACCAAGCATAAAAGTGGCATCAGTTTCAAGTATTGGGGCATTTTTATTTAAACATATTAGCCTTAATATGTTATTTCTCTATTCTACTAAAAGTTGTTGTTTGTGACACGTGAAAACTCATAATAAGTTAAAAAATTATATATGTTTATTACATTTTTCACCAAAGGACGTCGCCATTATTTTACCGGTGCAATGCATTCTGGGGCGATGACGTTCAACAGTTGTCGTAGAAACTAAAACACAAGAAGTTAAGGCTAAAAAAAATTACAACATGTGACAGACAGTAAAGTTATATTTTGTATTAGTCCTTATGCACAATATATAGGTCAAAACAATAAAATGTGATCAACTGGCGATGTTAAATTTATTAGCTCTGGAGCTAACGCCATAAATTTACCTTTGGAGCTAACATTATTAGCTCTGGAGCTACCGTAATATTTAATAGCTATGAACTGAATACCTTTAGCCCTGGAGCTAATGTGATATGTAATAGTTTATTAGTTTCAGAGCAAATGGTATTAGCTCTGGAGCTAACATGATAGATATTAGCTCTAGAGCTAACGTCATATATATA